AAAAGGTGAGGTGTGTCCTTGGCTTGTCCTTGGCTTGCGTGCCATATGTAGGGCAATTAACCCTTGAATATGCCCAAATAAATCCAAGCCATCTGCCCATGGTTGTGAGAAACTGGGTCTTAGGGCTGCTTTCGATGGGGATGAGGCTAGTTTCGTATCATAGAGATGTATTCTTCCCACAACTTAAACTTAGACTGGTATTCTTCCCGCAACTGGATTGCCAGATGCCAGATGCGTTCTTGCCAAATGCATCAAGATTGCCAGGAACTTCAACTTTCCCCCTCCCAATGCCTAGAAAGAACCAAATTTATCTTTTCTAGACGCACAAAGTAGTCTTCCCATCGCTGCCCAAGAAGAGATGAATTCCAACAAAGGCAATAAGGGACCCTGGCGGGAAACGGATCAATCCAAACGGTCAAGTAGCCTAGAGGACACACATAACATGATCTCATGCTCACCTTCTGTCTTCAGAAGTTCAGACTTGATTGGTTGACACTCAATCCATCTCCCACACGATTTGCATTCCACGAACTGGGAAGTGAGCATGAGCCATAAGCATAGCGGAACTGTGACTTCACCACGCGTTGCCCGGCGGCTATGATCACGGTCGAATACACGCCCAGTCCATTTTGAAGGTAGCCCACCAGCAACGTTGTTCGAAATGGATACCGAAGTCAGCTCTGTGACCTCCGTCCCATGTTTCAGACCCCATTTGAATTTGAAGGGATACTTGATTCTTGAGGGCTGAGTCTGCATCCATACACCATTTCTCTTCCTAGGACAGATTTCGGGTTCAGTCCTTCCATCGGTGCTCCCTGTTACTCAAGTAGCCAATTTCTTTCTCGCGAGCTGCACTGTCGAGGTTTCATCGCCTCCACATTTGGGAGGGATCTACAAAGTGATGTGGCAACACTGCGCTACTGGGTCAAATGGGACAGGCTGCCAAGTTCCTGTGCTCTCCAGATAGAAATGACTGGATTCAAAGCAACCCCGCGAGGCAAGCGAGCAAACTGCCAATGGGAATGACGCATTGCGCTTGCACTCCTCGTGAGCCTGGAAAAAAAGGGAACCCTTTTTTGGAAAGACCATTTTAGTGGGGCAGCCACCAAAAAAAAGGGGAAAAAGGCAGCCACTGAACAACTGAGACTCGTTTGCATGTTGACCCTTCGTGCTCAACCACAGGGGGAAAAGCAACACGTAAACCGCTGACCTTGACAAATCCTGGCCCAAAGGCGCGATCGACTTGAGCGAATTCTCTGGATCTGTGAGAATCCAGCGAACACACATTTCAGTGCTTTAAAACAGGCGAAACAAAGGGACAGCATGAACAAATCGACCCCCAAATGCAGGATCGACGCGGGGGCAAAAACAACACAAAGTTTGAAGAAGGAACACACGCAAGAAAAAGCAAAGTTGTTCCTTGAACACCGGGGGTACACAGAACATATGTCCAGATTCTGCTTCATATTTAGTCAACTAAAAACAGCAAATGTACTGGAGGAGACCCATATGACAACCACCGGCTAAGGGCAGTACCGAGTCGATGCGATTCTCAGTGTGGCATGGGAGGGCGGGATATCAAGCCCGAGGTTTGTCTGAGTGCAGCCTGTCCTCGCGGTCCTCACTACGCAGGCAACATTTCAGGACCATGAGAAAACCTGAGCCGAAGGTCAACGAATCGGTGTCTAGCCAACGCCCAAAGCTCGGTTTCGCAAGAGTAGATTTCTGCAAAAAACAAACACATCTGCAAATTGGCCTATAGCATGTTTTAGATAAACCACCCTAGGCCGGAAATATAGGGCACCGGTTCCTGCGCGATGCAAACATCGCACACAAAGCCATCTCAGCTTTTGCCCCTCCAACAAAATACATCTTCGGCTCTGGCCCCAACCTGGTAAATCTTAAAGCGTAAGATCGTGTCAAAAGAGAAATTTCAGCCCAACCATCTCCCAACGAGCACCCTTGTTCGGGTAGATTTCAAAAAAAGGTTTTAAGGAGGCCACTGCAGGTCTGCATCCAAAAAAGAAAGGATGTGCAAGACTATAGGGGGCACTTTTTGTGGTGGTTTTCGCAGTGGTTCCCTTCATACCTGGGGGTCCAACTCAACACAAACATCCAGGCTTTCCCTTCTGGCAAACCCCAACCAGGCAACTCGCCCAGTGGTTCCATTTGCTTAAGAGTCTCAACATTGCGGCCAGAACAAACAGTTTAAAGGCTACAAACAAGCAAAACCATTTAAAGCTTTTAACAGGGGCTTTCCCTCTCTAGAACAAGTTGGACACGGGAAGTGCTCAGGAGGCCTGGATCAAAACACAAATAAATGCAAAGCTCCGTATTGGACGTCTGTGCAAAGCTTCCCCGCTACGAATTTCCCGGACGAGACATCGCGCGGATTCGAGCGCGATTGCCCGGCTCTCGGCCAGGGGGTAAACATTGGAGTTGTTCACCGCTGGGGCAAAATGAAAAGCCCTCCTCGTTTGCAATGCTATAACTTTAGACTGCTACCCTCAGGGTCTTGCGACAATTTGTTTTTCGAGGTCCAAACCCTTCCGATGCAGATCCAAACCCCCCCAATGATTCTAGGGGAAATGCAAATGATACTACAGTTTACTACAGTTCTGTTTCGTATGTGACAACATAATAATTTGCGTTTCAAATTGCTGGACCCCTCATGGCTACACTTCCTGTCGTTTTCCCTTCCAACCCAGAAACAAACACAAGCCTACCTTTTGAACTAAAACACATCTTGCAAAAGATGTGTCTGTGAGTACACTTGTCTGCTGAGAAGTTTGTAGGCGGGTCATATTTTGGAAGGTTATCTACATGATTCAAGGGTGGCTGAACATATGCATCATATCCGTGGCCGCCATGCAACCCCCGGGCATCTGTCTAATTCGATCTCTGCGCAAGTTCGCCGAGAGAGAGCTGAACTTGAAGCGAACACGAGCTGGGCACAGTAAAGTGACATCCTCAAAGTTACCCTCCAACTCGTTGTTTCCAGGGTAGCCGCCCCAACGGTAACTTTGAGCACACCTCAAGTTCAACATGGTCACTTCAGGGGACCTACAAGATTGTCCTCAAGTCATCTCTCCTACCTTAAGCGGGAGAAGAGTGGGAGGTACCCAATCCCGTGCTGGTCTTCCTCCCAAGGAAGATTCCAGGGAAGGTGAGTCGTATGGAGATTCGCCGACCTAAATAGAACATGGACGCCTAAAAAGGCACCTTCAACTGGTGAGGGTGTAACGCGCCTTGCAAGGTTGCTATAAATTGCCCAGATCTCCCAATGGTCATATGCCAAACTTAGGAGAATCACCAAAAGACACGTGTTGTTTTTTGCGCCGGATCTGCAAATTACAGCGTGAGCATGTGCCGGTGGCCAGTGTGCATGCAATGCACATGCTCAAATGACCGGGAATCGCTGTTGCAAGTTGGAAGGAAGGTTCCATGAGTCACAATCGCATCAAATCAAAGGGTAGCCGCACCGATGTGTGGTCAGGACTATCCATTACCAACCTTCACGCGGGTTTTGATTGTGGCCCCCTAGCATGACATCTGGGAAGCAACTAGGTCCTCCAGTAGAGTAGTAGAGAGCTTAGAAAAAGTTGGTACCAACTTTTTTGCTGTAGTCTATTTAAGTAGGGGGTTTCCCTCCCCCAAAAAAGGGGTTAAGAAGGGCACTATAGGAGGACCGAGGCAAAGGTTCTCCAGCAAACCGAAGCTGGCACTTAGGCTAGAGAACACGAGCTGGAGAAAATCAGAGGGACGCGCTATGAGGGGCCCAGGGAGGGGCTCCTTGTCATTTGTGGTCCAAATCCCACAAGTAAAGTCCAGCAACTCACTACGCAAGCGTCATATCATATCTCGGTTGCTTTCTGCTCCCCTGCTGAAGGTGAATAACTTCTAGTGGGTTTAATACGGAAAACCCATTCGATGGCAAAAAGTTGAAGTCCTAACATCCAAGCAAGTGCACCAAAGATTTCCGGAAGTGTTCAACGCAGCTCCCAGACGCGCGCCATGTTTGCTGAAAAGAACAACAGAGGTATTCAGGTCTCATCGTCAGTTGGCTTAATACTTAAGGGGGTGAATCTACAGGGTTCCATAAAATGTTCCTTTGAAACATCACCCAACAAGCAAAGGACATATCTCTCCTTCACAAAACCCATTCCATAAAAAAGAATCCATCCTTGGATTCTCCACCAGGCTGAATTCCTGAAAGATCTGAAGTGTTGGAGCCCCCGACTTTCAAGTCTCAGGTTTGCCTCTAGATTTCTAGGAAGCAAAGGACACAACAAAAGATGTCGGTTGGTGGATGAAGGACCCCCCAACAAAAAGGACATAGGCACTACCCGGGGCCTGGGTCAAGCAGTCTTCTCAGTATGGATTTGGTGTCCGATCTGCAACTCTCCCTCTGCGCGCAAAGGCGATCACCTCTCGATGGGCATCAGGATTCAAAGACTTGCTACCCATGCCCTGCGATTTGCTTAAGCCGCCTGGAAAAAACAAAAATATGCCCAGTAGTGAAATCGATTCCCCAAAAACATATATTTATTTCAACAAATGGAAACGGCTCATCGTTGGGGCATGGCCATGACTTGCTTCCATGTCCCCAAGACGCGATTCGCTAAAGATTGGCCAAACCTAAGGGCCCGGATGCGGGTGTGAAGTTCAATAGACCCCATAGACAAGCCTCTCGCACGCAGGTGTTCTGTGCGGACAGCTCGGCATAAAGGATTCATTCACGTTCTTTAAAGGCCAGAAACAACTACATTCCGCAGATTATTCAAGCTCAAAGTGGTTACAACTAAAACCATCTTCCCAAGAAGGTGGTGAATTTTAGAAACTGAGTAAACCATCTTCCCAAGAAGGCTGAATTTCAGAATACAACTAAGACCATCTTCCCAAGAAGGTTGCCTTTCAGAAAAAACTGAGTAGGCGAGCAAATTGTTAGGAATCTGGCCGTCCAAAAGCAAGTTTTGATGCCTCTCGCGAGGAGTCGCTGCTCACAACGACAAATAATTGATCATGTTCGAGGACGAAAAGGCGCGCTTCCTGTAGAAGAGGACGTAGCACCTCATGCTGAATCGGAATCGGAGCTTTTTGCGTTTTTGCACCTGAGCTCACTTTGGGTCTTGCGGTACAGGCAATGCTACAAGCACCAGAAGACCAGCTAGGTAGGAGCTTGCGCGAGCCTACGCCACCACAAGCGCATACGCGGAGTGCCTACAAAGACTTTTCTCGGCGCTACTCTTCAGTTTGTATAATAGGCCAGACATGCCTACGCGAATCTGCCTACGCAGGAGTTTCTTGAACAGCCTACGCGAACTGCGTACGCGATCGTTTGAGACAAGCCCCAGTGATGTTGACAACACCAAAAGGATCCAAAAGGAGTGATCTCCCTTTAGACGTACCGGGAAGGGTTTGCAGGAGGGATGTAGAGCACATCAGTTGCTCCGACCTGGAACTAAACCGGTGATTGTCTTTGGGCTTGTGCTCAAAGGTTGAAACCCATGTCAGGTCTGGAGCGATAGAAAGACTTGGTCAGGGCCTTGCTATTCTCTGTTTGAGTCATGACACATCCCCATGATCCCCCATCAAAGTGCCGTCATCTTTGGACGTTGACCAAACAAAGCAAGAATAAAACTTGGCCCATGTTTGGGGATACACAGAGAATCATGTTGATTGATCACGTGTCCTGCTTAGCCTGCCCTCCCAATTAAATTAGTTTTGGACAAGACCCCAGAAAACAACACACAAAACACACATCGCGACAAAACAACAGCAATTAACAACAATCAACGCATAACATGTTTTGTAGTGCCCCCCCCCCCCAAAAAAAAAAAACAACGCGGCGACAACCTAGATCGAGTCTATTGGCTGGCAACCCGAACCATGCACTTCTTTGGTCGGTTGGCGTTAAGGCTTTAGCGTTAAACATGGGTTCCTGAGTTCAAGGAGTCTTTCATGGTATTGTTTCCATCTGAAATCCGAATACTCGAAAATGATCAAGCAACAACATAGCTTAGTTCCAGTAGTGACAGTTTCCCTACAAAACAAAAGGGGGAAAACAAGACATATAGGCGTGTCCTTTGTTTGGAGGTGGTACCCTTCTTTGGTTTTAAAAAAAAAAACAAACAACAACAAAACACGCTTCTGAGGGTACCCCGTATTGTGGTAGAAAAAAGCCAGTGGGTCCCCGAAAAAAAAAAAAAAGGGAAAGCCCCGCGCAAGGGATCTGGATGGTTCACGGGTTCGTTCGTCTCTCTGACCAGCGAGATACCTCGCTGATGGGATGGCAGTTTGACTCACTTCTCAAGTTGACTGGCCAAAAAAAGTCTGAACTTTTTATTTACCACTAAAATGGTCTTCCCAAGAAGTTTAAAGTTCATGAACTCAGGAAGTGAGTTGAAGCAATGGGTATCATTCTGAACCCCAGGCGTTGGAACCGCGAATCTTGGGACCTCAAACAGGTCGACATCAAAAGGTAGCAATGGAAAAGGTCAGCGGAAGGCATGCTGAGGGTTCCAGAAAACTGAGAAACAAGCAGCAAACAACTTCGTAACTAGCATGTCCATACAGGACTGGTGACTCCGCAAGGCTCCCTCAACGGCAAAGTTGGATACCAGCGCCGAGTCCGCTCCCTTCCAACCACCAGCTACTTCCATTTTGCTTAAGAACCCCAAAGAAAAGAAAAAACAACAACAACAACAAAAAAAAAAGCAAGTAATTAGTAAGAGACTCTCTTTAAACCCAACAGGATTTTTTTTGTTTAAAAAAACAAACAAAAAACACGCAAAAAAAAGCAAGAAAGAAACACATATCCTTCAGCCAATGGAAGGCCAGCTCAGGCCCTGGAGATTTCCGCGAGTTCTCGGGCCCCGTCTGCTTCGAGATCTCCGGAAGCTCCTGGCTCTCACTGAACTCCATGCGGTTGTATCGGTTTTGCCGGGAGCCCTGTTGGGTGAAGGGAGAACCAAAACACCAAGGGTTTGAAGGGTTGGTTTGGGTTGAGGGAAAAACCCGAAACACCCAAACAGTTCGGAAACTTCCAAAATACGGAAATCAGCCCCAAAATGGCTGCTGGCCTTTTAGTTGTTCTTTCCAAAGGGTACTCAAACACTCACTGCCTGAATGGATTTGCATGTTTGCCATGGTCCAAACTCAAGTGACTAAATCTCCATGAACTCGGGAAGTGAGATAACAAAACAAAAAACACACACACTCATGGCTTTGCTTCCCTTTCCATGTGACGACCCACTCTTGATTCCAATCCCTCCCCATAAACCACCCACCTGGTTATCAACCGTTTTTCCTCCCCATAAACCACCCATCCCAATCGGTTTCGTCTCAGCAAACCCCCCAATCGGTTTCTCTCCGAACTTTCCCCCCCGGCGAATTTACCCTGGTCGAAAGCTCGGGAGGGCTCGCTCAGGGCTCAGGTGTCGATCTCTGGAGCCTCGGGGAGCCTGGATCTGGTGTCTCCCTTCACGAAAGGAGCTTGGCCTGCATTCTCTAGGGATCCGGATGCATGAACAACACCTGAACATTGCAACTTGCTTGCAAATGGTACCGTGTCCAACTTTGTGTTGGTGGTGAAAAAAAAGGTATTTCAAATGGTGGCAACATGGAGATCTTTTAAGGAGCCCTGTCTAGTATTCCCCTTTTCCCCCAAATTACAACCAGCTGCGCCCACAGAGGCCCCGTGCGAACTTGAGTGAGTGAGTCTGCCCTCCAGAAATCGAACTCCCCCCCAATTCCCCCCAGCATTGAAGCGGCTGGGGATGTTGTGCCTCAACTGAAAGCGATGGATTTGGTCTCTGTCCAAGCGAGGTGTGATTTGGGCCAGCTTTCAGGGAGGTGCGTTTCGGGGGGCCCGGGGGATGTTGAGACCAGCCGAGCTGATTCCTTCACCTTGATTTCCGAACGCAACGGAATGGTCGGAAGAAGGACGCCCTGTTTGTTACTGGCAGATTTTGACTGGACACCCCGGAAACAGGGAAAGCAACACCCACAGGCCCGAGTCTCCGTGACAGCTTTTTGTTTGGCGACCGACCCGCTGAGTGTGCCTGTGTGTGTGTGTGTGTTTCAAAATAGGGATGTGGACCCCATGGTTTTTGTGGTGTTGCTGTTGGTGTCCCTGAGTTGCCCAAAGGACCCAGAATTGAAAGGCCTACCTGTGTGCACCTTTGCTAAAACTGGCCCAACAGGAGAAAACCAAAGGTCAAAAAGGTCGATTCGCTTTGGGCAAGTGACCTCCCCTTAAGTCCAACCTGGAAAGGGACCGGCCTGCTTTCCCGAATCCAGATCGATCCGCGGCAATCTCTACAGCTCCTTTTGGATGTCAACGGTGGACACGGAGTCGTCGTTGAATTTTAGCCACTGTGGCTCCTGGCGGGCAAAGCATCCCCCATGTCGAGGTTGGCAAGGGAAACCCTCCGAATAAACTACCCTAAGGGTCCCTGTTGATTTTGGGCCTCAAAGCTGGTTTGAGGGGGTTGGGTTCTCCATTGGAGAACCCTGGGGTCTGCATCGGAGGGGTTTTGACCCTTAGGTTAAGACCATTTCAAGGCTCCACCTTCCGCAAATTGTTGGGACCATCCCCTTCCAATGGAGGGAATGTCCTGGGGGATGAAAAGGCCAACGGGGGCAAATATGCAGAAAAAAACACGGCAAATGACAAAAGGGACGCAACTCGGACGACACAAGGAATCCCCCCAAAACAGTCCCGCACGGATGACTTTGCGATAGTCAATTTGCCCAAAGGAGCTGAAGCTACCAAATAGCGGTGAAACCCGACCGGGGATGTCACCTTGGGGTCCATGGTGGATATCTCACCCAATTTGCCCCAGAGCAAAAACAGGACTCGGGTCCCTTGGAGACCCTCTTGCCCTCCGAGCGAAGCCCGGATTGGGGGCGGAGGCCGTGCGACGGACTCGCGGAGACCGATACTTGAAGATTCCGAGAGTCGATTCTTCCCCAGATAGCTGAAATCCATAGGGTTCTAACTTCTATTTTTTGTTGTGTTTGTCGCTATCTGGGGTCTATGCTGGCGTAAATTTGGTAGATGTTCAAAGTAATACCCTTTCCAACGGCGGAGTTTTTGATACTTAAGCCATTGCAGCCTGAGGGTGACGATTGGTGACCAATAGTGCGCCGGGACCTTTCGCGCGTGCCTCGTTCCTGTACCCCTCCCTAGCCCAGGCCATGTGTCGGTTTTTCGAAAGGTCACTATCTGTTCAAGGGGCTTGGAGCCCCATGGGCGGATTGTCCCCTTTCCTGGTAAACCCTGAGAAGGGTACCGAAACAAAAACACACATGGGTATGAAAGGCCTACGTGCAGAAAGTAAAAGACAGAGGCATGCTTTCGCAGCGCACTTTGGCGACTTGTACATCTTAGACTGGTTTCGGGACATGGTTCTGAGTCTACCTGAGCAGCTCCTGCCGAAACATATCCCCCATACCCATATCTCCTACTTCAACACAAAGGATTTGCTGCATTTCAAAATGTAGGGTCCTGGAATAGCAGGCCTACACGGGAGCCAATATCAAGAATGGCCCCAAAGGGTGATGTTATGTGATGTTCAAACCACCCAAAGGAGCCCAAGAAAGAAATACATCGGTGGCTCCTTTTGAACTTCGGTGGCTGCCTGCGCGTTTTGAAAACCGCATCCCTCACCCCAAAGCTCGAGAGATCTTCCAAAGGCTTTCACGCTGACATTGAAAGTAAACCAAATGCGTGTCTCAAAATAGGGGACCCCTCCAGAAAATGTGGGGCTTTCATATTCTTCTGCGTCCTCAAAATTGATTTTGGACCCTGCTGCTTGGTCTCAGGAAACCAAAAGGAAACCACCCAGGGTCCCCTATCCTGAGAAACCCCCATGTACATCTCTCTCTCTCTCGAGCATGATCTAATTCGGCCTTAAAGTTCCCTACACACCCATCCTAAAAGACTCTGTCCCTTTCCCCCAACCCGACAAACCCCGATGCAACGAAGCGAAACTTTGCTCTTGCCTTGCCGCCCTCATTCATGCAGTAGGACCTAGGGCAAGCACGCCTCTATCCCTAAGCGTCCTTCTAGCACAATAGATAGCACGGGTAAATGATTAGGAACTTAAATTAGAACCAAACTGAAACCAGTACCATCTGTAGAATCTATGTTCAACCAGACTGACCCGAAAGGACCCTGATGGTTCTGGCAAGCAAGCAAGCAAGCAAGCAAGCAACTGTCATCACCGGCAGCAGATCCCCCAATTGACATGCACACCTGCGGCTGGTAACCTCCCGAAAGCTAACATGGAAGTGCTCAAGCCAGGGTTCTAGGCACCTTTTAACGGCTTTGGCGTGGTATCTTGCTTTTCCCTTAGGGGTATGGCTGTTTCGAGCTCCTTTGGTGCAAATCCGAGCACACATTACAAGTTGCAAACAAGAACATGTGATTCATCTTGCGCTCCAAGACCCTAAGGGTCCAAGAGGTTGGCAGAAACAAGGGGAGGGGGAGGGGGAGGGAGAGGCCAGAGGGGGGGGAGAAGGTACCCTAGTGCAAAGAAAACATGCACGCAAGTTGCGTAGCGAGTCTCTCCAGCCACGAGGAGCTGGCATTCAACTGGAGAGCCTTCGGCATCGCATTGTGAAGTTCCATGGGGACCGCTGCAAGATCTCGCTGCCGGACATCTGAATGTCTACGATAACTTTTTCAAAACCTCACCATACAACCAGCCCAGGTAAAGGCTATAAGGATGTATGGTGAGCTCGACTTTGCTGGGATCCAAGTAACAAAAGGTGGCAACCAGTCACAATAATTGTCCACACCCATACTTGCAAACCAACCGTGCGCCTTGCGCAAGCTTCCAGCTTCTCTTCCAATGCGACTAGATCTTCCATGCCGAAACGAGGTTTTTCAGCCCCGAGTCGGTCGCCAGATTCGGCCCGAAGCCAAGCTCTCGCGCAGGAGAGGCAGGGTACTTAGTATGTGGTTATAGTAAGAATGGAGTCACAACTGATTATAACCCGCCTGAGCCGAGACTTAAACAAACCATGAAAGGTGATATAGGTTGCATGGTTATTGCCCACTTACCAAGTACCCTGCCCCATTTAAGCAAGGAGCAACAACTCCTTCGTAGCGGAACGAGTGCGCGCCGGCGTTTTCCGCATGATTTTTGTGTGGCCCCAGTGTGACCAGGCGCAGCCCCTCTGCGGACGCCAGGAAGCGGATCTCAGAATAGATCTTCCCCAACTCACCGCATGCCATCCAGACGACCAAGAGCTATGCCAAAAGCCAGCGGTTTGATCATGAGGCCTAAACCCATAGCTCGCAAACGATCTCCTCACTTGGCTACTTCAACGCTTGGGCTGGTCAAGGCCTTTAATATGGCAAACAAAAACCTGAGGCTTGTATGGCATGCACGAATCCCTACCTTAGGGGTTGATTCCACCAACTGAACAATCAGCATGTTGAAACCCAGCCATTTCCGATTGTCTTTTCCAAGAAGGGAGTCAGCAATGTACAAAAACAAACAACATCAGGAAAGCCTGTCCAGGAAGATATGTTCCAGCGGATTTACTCCAGGACGTCTCTTCTGGGAAGTGCCCCCAAACATGGACATGAGGCAGGGTACTGACAAAGTGGTTCATAACCCTGCTTTCAACCTGCATAGGCAATCCATAAGAAGTGTCAATTCACCACTGACTTGACAAGTAGGCTCTTTCATGATTAATCATTGCATAAGATACTTGGTCCCACATCTGTGCACAGAAAAGCAACATATCTTTAGATTTCGTCTCATATTTATATGGAAACAAAACATTCACGCGGTTTGGGAGACGACTCCCCGGATCCGTCTCGCTGAGGTTTCTGCGTGTAGTGCCCGCCAGACATGCCGCCACGATGGCAGGCAATGCCTAGCTGCGACCGAGTTCATGGGTCGGCAAGGGCTCTCAACATGCTTCCGAGTATCAGGGAGTAAGCCCTATTCATAAACTGGGGTTGACGAGAATATGGGGTCAACTTTACACCAAACATTACGCTTCCCACAGAAAGGGTGCTTTGAAGCCGAATCGGTGGTTCGGGATTCAACCATTTACCCACAAGCAGGGTCCTGGGAAGCTGGGGACCCCTCAGCCCTGTTGACCCCGGGAAAAAAGACAATCACCTGCCTATGTTTTTGTTTCGGGGGGGGGGGTCCAGCCAAAAGTGATGCCCAAAGGGGACACCTGTGTAAATCAACCAGCAGTTGATTATATCCAGAGTTCCCATTAACCTTCCAAGGACGGGGTACCCTTTGAGGGTGCTTGTTCAATGGGTAACAAGGGGGTACAGTACCTCCTTAGAAGGTACTTGGACCTGGGTTGCCCCACTGCGACTGTGCGCAGCCTGCCCGAAACGGTCCCTTGAAAAGAAGACACGCAAAGGATCCACTCACCGTCCCCAGAGCCCCAGACAGGCGATGCTTGAAACAGACGGATCCCGTCCAAACCTCGCAGCCCTTGAGGGGGAAACCGATTGGATGCCCGAAGAAAATCATCGACACTTTGACCGATTCGCGTCGGCACTACGAACCAGCACGAAAAAACACATGGCTGTAGTGAGTGGAGCTGACAGGACCCCAGAAGAAACCAGGCATGTTGCACCATTGCACCCCTTCATTTTGAGACAATTCCACTTGATGGGAATTCCTGGCCATGACATCTGCGAAGCTTCAATCATGACCTACGTTAATCAGGGTTCAACTCCATCTCCGACCCACCAAGATAAAGGTGACGTTTGCTTGCAAACACAAAAGCGGAAATAATGGGACCCCTATTCAAGGGGGCGGTTTCTGTTTTGGTGTCTGGTTGATATTGTCAGTTTATTGGTTGCGTTTCCAGTGGCTTTTGGGCGTGGGTCATTTGTGGTTGGTGCGTTGTTGTTGGTTGATTGTGATTGCCCCAATAACTACTGAAACTACATGGATGCCCCTGAAACACTATTTGCTTCTCAAGTGTAACTATGGTGGCTTCAATATTGGGGGGGTTCAATGTTTGTGGGTGCGGGCTACTCAAAATGATCCTGAAACCCAATCCATAATCAGTGGGACACAAGGGAAATCACAACCATGTGGAACCTGGCAGGATCTTGCAGGCTGACGTTGAGCCCGGATACTTCAAGGCAACACCGCACACAGAACAGGTGCTGGACACTTTTGCAGGGTTGTCCCGGGGGCAGTCTGCATCTGCTGAATTCAGCCAAATGGAGGCTGTTTGATGCCCTTTGAGGCAACTTTGGGGCCAGGGGGCATCAAAGCAGCGGCGATGGGAAACGAACCGAACCAAGCCAAACCGTAGGCATCTTGAGCCTATGCGTCCACACCGCCAAAGACCCTTCAGGGGAATACTGAAAACCGACCCCAACCTGAAAAAACTCGGGGCCGGCCCAAAACCGAGACAGTGATATTGTCTGCTGCTGTTGGCTGGTACGAACCCCTGCTTCGGGCTGAATGATGGGACCTTTTGGGGTGCGCTCTCTACAAACCGCCGATTTTTCTGGGGATTTCCAAGGCGGACAAGGGACGGCTTCTGATTGTTGGCTGGTTGATCTTGCAGGAAACCCATCCAAACAGAAACATGTGTGCCGCAGCTGAGGTGCGGTCGATTTTGAAGGGAACCCCTCCAAACAAAACCGTCCGGCTGGTTGAAAACAGACCAGCCCAAAAACAACGAAACAACATGGGCCACGACTGGAGGTCTTGGATATGAGACAAATCCCCCCCAACTCTTTCAATGGTCTAGGCTCTGGGCCGTATAGGTCGTAGGCAGTGCCCGCACCGCCGGTGGGGCCTCAGCGTGAAAAGCCCATTTCAGAACAATGGATAAATGGAATCCACAAGCTGAACCAAGGCGTGTTCGCAATGGACCAGAAAAAGGGTGCGTCATCCCGTGGCATGTTGCCGAGCAATTGGCCACAGAGTCGTCAGTTCCAGAGGATGAGGATGTAAGACGTGTAAGTTCCTATTGAGGCACTGAGGAGACCACCAACAAATATTTTCCCAAAACGGGCAAAACCGATAGGGGAGCACAACACCGATGCCTTTGCGCCCCCTGGTCTTGGCCCATATCTGGGGTACTCCAAAAGCCAAGGGACTCTGTTGGTTGTTTAGCCTACCATAAAATATACAGAGCAAGGGACCCTGGTGCGCTTGTTGCGCGAGCGCACTACTGACCCCCAGTCTCAACATATCGAGTACACCCAGTTGTTGGTTGGCCTCATAGATCGTAACTGCCCGGTTCGTGAAGGTGTAACATGTTGGGTCTAAACCCTGCCCTTACCTCAGAGCAGTTGTTCCCACCCAAAGGACATGGGACATGTTGGGCCGCATGCCTCGCAAAGGGACCCTAGACTATATAGACAAATCAGGAAGTGTTGACCAAACTTCATCTGGGCTTTGGTCCTTCTCACAGATTTGCCACCAGGTACATCACAACTCCCACGCTGCAACCTGGAACCTGACTTGGGGGTCCTGGTGTGGGAAGAGCGATGTGCTCAATTAGACTACCCAAGAACATGGCATATTCTTGGAGGAGAAGACCCGGAATCTGCTCCAAAAGGCACTGGTCAGTCACCCAGTGCCCGCCCGAAGCAAGTATCCTCTCTTGGACCATGATTTTGTGCGGCCCCAGTTTCACTGCTTGTAGTCAATCTTGCTACGACACTGACAGGGCAAACAAATGAGACCTGTACAAAACACAAGTCTCAAACCTGTCACGCCTGATGGGCGTCGGACCCACGACCCAGGCACGAACGTCCAGATCTTTCAAAGGTACCTAGATCGGTCAGAACGCATGCTCTCCAGAAAAATAATAGGGGTGTTATTCATCCCCCAGAAACAGTTCTAGACACCCTTAACATAATTGGGCTATGTATTTTTTTCTGGCATGTTTCGAAACTCCAGGTGTATACAGTATGGACGGTCGCGAGTCGCAACAGGTGCTGTTTAAGTCACCAGGGAAATTTCACACGCCTCTAGACACCCAAATCGGCTTTGGCTATATGTGGAGGCCGAATCCACACAGCCGGGTGGAGAACCTTGCCGAGACACGTCTGCTGCTTCCAAGTCGTTTCATTCCTCTCGAGTTCTTGGGACCTCAGAAAGTGGTATTTTGCTAGACCCGCAAAATGGCGGTCCTCTGACAGGGCACCCCGCGCCCGAAGAAAAGAACACGAACACCCCATTTCGAGGTCCTCTCTCGTCCAGACTCCCCCAATGGAGGGTCCGTTCTGATGCTGAGGGACATGCTGACAAACCTCGAAGGGTGGCGAGCTATGGGTATCTATGGGTGCCGCACTTGAAGCATGACTGAACTGGGATATAGCGACTAACTCCCATGAGTAAACTCACCTAAGGGTTTTCTTGGTATCACAGAATGTGAACCTAAAACCAAGCTTTGCAATTCAAGACCTGGCATTAAAGGAGTCTGCCTTGATATGTTCTAGCGTCCTTTTAGAGTCGGTTAGCTTGGGGTCTGCCCGATGCAAAGACATCTAGGTTTTCACTGTGGCACATTTGACAAGTGCAACCGGAAATCGGTTCACGGCCATTTTATCGCCATTCCAATAGGGGTTGCCTCTCCCTATCCTTCTGTCTTGCCGGGCCAGACTGAGAACTCCTGCAAAGCGTTCCCCTTTTTGCTGGTCAAAAGAAAACTTGAAGGACACCCCAAAGGCAAATGCTACAAGGGTCGGTACAAAGCCACAAATTCGAGGTTTTGCCAAGGATTGCTACTAAGAAATCCCCAAAAAAGCTACGGCAATGCCAAAATGTCGAGACACTCGTTGACTGAGTCGACTTATCTTGACATCCCAAGGCCTGTTCCCGATTCTCCCTCGAGTCTAGTCAAGGGCATTTCCAGAAAGAGGGGTTTCAGAGGTACGGATGCGTAGAAAAATCAACAAGCTTGTGATTCACAGTAATGTTTTTCCCTAAGTGAGAAATATAACCTCCGTGCCTCCAAAATCCATCCCTGACACTTCCCCTGATCCGGTCAACTTCCTCTGAACATGCGGGTATACGAAAAGATTGAGTCCTACAGCAAAGTTTCTTTTTTCTCTGGCAGGCAGGTCCTGGAAGGGCCAGATCACTTTCCAAATACCCCACATGTGCTATGCCAAGACTTAGGTTTCCTTACTTCCTTCATTCACAATAAAACAAGGGCAACCCATGCACCCGATAAGGGCTGACAAATCATGTGGGAAATGCACCTGCTGGTCACTGGTGAAGTTCATTCCGTCAATTGTGCAGGTGGTTGAACTGGTTCGTGTTCAAATGGAAGGAACGGGTAAAGCTATGGTCGCAGGTCGCCAGTCGCCATATTCCAAAAGGAGCACTTGGACAGGTGTGGAGATCTTCTCGAAATGCTCTCCACTAAAGTGAAACCTGGCAGCGTCCCGGGAAATGGATGGGTGAGTGGGCCCAGTTTTTGCAGTGGATTTGGCACTCTTTTCTGGGTAGTCGACTTAAAAAGGGAAGACCCCTCCGGAAAAAGGACAAAAGGGCACCACTGGAAGTCTGGGATCCTCTTGCTTTGTGATGTTTTCTTTGGAGCAGTTTTTTTCTGGAATTTGGGAAGCCGCCGATTCCGCGCACATCAGCACGTCCTGAGGTTTCCTTTGAGGAAAAAGACAGAATGCCAGTGACAAGTGAACATCGAACCGAGTTGTTACTGGAAGCCATCCCCGGAAATTCCCCATTCCTTAGGATGGGCTTTTGCGGTGTAACAAGGAGTCGTTTAGAAGGTACTTGACTGACAGTTCAAATGCCATGCACGAACTCTGCGGCACAACCGGCACTGCCGGCACTCTGTGTGTCTCGCTTCCACAAAGAATCATTAGGTGCACGTGACAAACATGTGAGATGCGCATCCCTAACGGATACATCCAATCACCTGCTGTACAACTCCTCTTAAATCCACTGGTGAAAGCTTCGTTTCATTGGCCAAATGCCATCCGTTTCAAGGGTTCCTCGTGTGCTTTGGCAGCCTCGTTGGCAAACACCTGCAGAAACGCATAGCCTTTCTCGATCGATCAATGCCTCAAGCTTCAAGTTGGTTGTCTTGCATGGCCATGCATTCGACTTGGAACCAACGCCAAGGGTTGTGCACATGAATCTCCACCATCAGGGACCCATTTCGGGTGCGGGACCCATTTAAACTTACGCATACAGGCATGAATCATTGCGTTGGTCCGCATGTAGCCCGCGTGCCAAGCGACAAGCACTTTGCCAGAGCTGATTGAAGATTTGCCTTTCTTCCCTCACTCAAATGTGAAGCCTAAAATGAAACTCTCCCCCAACCTAGCATGAAAGCTCCCGAACGGACCCCTTTGGAAGACTTGGTTCCATTCACAAAGGCCTTCTGGGAGCAGTGTAGATTACAACAGAGACACAAGGTAGCAAGCTCGTAGGGTCACATCACGCAGCCCTCGTTTCCCATGAACGGCGGTAGGACACCTCTTTTGGGTAGGCTCCAACACCAAGACCGGGCCGTGGATTTCCATGGCGAAAAAGGGAATGGGGCCTCTTCTTGGGGTGGTTGATTTTAGAGGCAAGGTCATAGGTTCGAGAAGGAACATGACTGGCTAGAAGAATGCAGATCTGAGAAAGAATAACAGGTCGTGCATGAGGCCAGTTGAGACAGTTTGAAAACAAAGGCGGTCAAGACATATCAAATGCGATCAAGTCAATGAGAACATCTTACATCTTGATACAGATTCTGCGCGAGAAGCGTGAGAACCAATGTCAATCAACAGTAGGTTAGAATAAGGGTAGCCAACAGCCAACAACCAACAACCAACAACGAAAACCACAACCATAACACCACCAAAAAAAGCTAATCCGTTCCTGGCCTTTTGATGTGAAGCACCAGGACGTCTGGCTCTCGCCAAATGTCCTATTTGCACACGACACACGACATTTGTCGGGTGTTCTTGTTGAGGGTACCAGCTTTGTGGTAGCCTTGGGGGTCCTAGCCTTGTGAGGGTACCAGCTTTTTTGTTGGAGGTACTAGCTTTGTGGGTCGTGTTGAAGGGACAGTGGTTGGTAGCCTTGGTTGCAATCAACGTACACCTTTTTTATACGCAACACAGGAGGGCGGGGGGAATGGAGGCAATCGGGCGGGGGCAGTCCCTGTACACCGCACGGATGTCCCTCCCTCGCTAAACTCTTTCCTGTCGGGCAAAGATGCTTGAGAAACCACCTGCGCTGACCCTTTTGCGCCTTTTTGACCCTGTTCAGGGACTCAAGCACCCCCCATGTTTTGATTCAGTGCAGGTTTGCGAATTTGGGTGTCTTTTTAAGGGGACCCCCCAAACATTGTGGGTTTCCTTTTGGTTTTCTGGTACAGCCACAGAACAGGGGCACCCTCAAAAAAGACATGCCCATGTGTTTGCTAGTGCTCCATTAGCTTGCCATCATGCTGACCGCGTGAAACACGTAATTCGGGGTCAATTGGTTTACCTGGTGTGAGGGGTATCTTTCTTCCGTCTCCTTGGGTTATAACCCCGGTCGCAAAACACTTCCTAGATGCCTCCGTGAGTAGGGGTGATTGCACATACAACTTTCACAACTAGGTAACTGGGAAACACATCATAAAAAAAGGAGGCATAAGTTCTGACTACCTGCAATGAAAGCAAACTGAAAGCTTTGCCCACATCCCTTGAGTTGAAAGCAATGATGCTCACTGAATCGATCGCTCAACAAGACTTCTGCCAAGAGGCAATCTTCTTCTGCGCGTCCACCGCCACTTTACCTGAGGTGTGCAAAAACCGCTTGGGCAGCTTCGGTTCCACGTTGAGGTGGTGGCACCAAAGGGTGGCGTCCGACCTTTTGCTGGGGCTGTCTTTTTGCGGGTACTCGTTTTGGGTTGCTTGTCAGGAAAAGGACAATTCCCAGCCGTTTGGTGGCTATGTAGGCGCCATGTGAGACAAATTCATGTTTTTGAGGTTTCATGTCCAGAGGGTTCCAGCCAGTCGTGCCGAAAAGAACCCGTTGTCGACCCCTTGGGTCCGGTGGCTGCCCCGGGCACTCGCAGTACCCACTCGCGATCACTCGCGGTACCCGTGGCTGCCCCGCTGTGCCCCGGGCACTTGTCGCACTTCACACCGTTGCCGTTCTCCACCTGCAAGAGAGCAGCGTCAGAGGAAAGCCCGGACATGTTGGCATGAAGGCAGTGACGCCAGAAATTTGAGGCAGTTCTGGAAGCTACCTTCTTTAAGCTGACATCTTATCACTAAGTAGCCCCCCAATTCAGTGCAGGAGAAGAGTGCGGAAAGAGCAGAAACGAGGCACATGGCAAATATGGAAAAGCAAGGGAATCCATCTCTAGATGTCCCGAGGGAATTTGTTGCAAACCAAAGACCAGCAAAAAGGACACCCTTTTCTAAGCCGCCAAAACAGAAGGAAACAAAACGGCAACAACTGGTGGCCTCATCTCTCACCCACCAACAAATCGTAAACAACCAAGTTGGAAACCAGAGACAGAAATAAGTTACGGATTGAAGTCTCATTGATTTTCGACCATTGCTCTCACTCACACCTTTACATCGATCTCGAAGGGACACCCGCTACGACCAAAATAAGGAAAATCAAAGCGCTGGAGTCCGTGCGATTCTTCCACCCAGCAAAAGCACTTACCAAGCAAGGACAAAAGATGGGTTAAGGATTCGAGCGGCGGGGTTTGTTCCAATCCCCTCAACTCGATTTGGATCGCTTCATTCTGACCGACAACTCCAACTCAACGGGAAACGTTGGTGGTCGGTTCTAAAGGGACCCCTTTCACAAACAAATGGGTGTGGCTCAAAATTAAACGGGAGGGGTTACGCAGGTTTTGGGCCATGTTTCCACTTACCAGGGTTCCATTTTGGGTACCGGTTTTTTGAGCCACAGCCAAATAAACAAAGAAGCAACCCGTGTGTCTGTGTCACTTCTCTAATCCTCCAAAGCAAGGGACTCCCTTCAAAAACGGGAACCTGTTCGGATTTAAAGGGAAACCCTCCACCGCACACAAACTTGGTTGCTCCAAGCCCGTCTGAGCAAATGGAAAAGCCCCGTTGCCAAATCTCCAAGCACCCAACACAAACTCCGAGCCCTTTCCCGTGCCACGCGCGAGGCGGCTTTTCTGGGCCGTGATCAAAGGCGCCAGGCATGTCCCGCGCCGGATTTTTGGGCGGAGCGGTGGCCTTCATCTCCTCCGCCTCGGCGAAGGCATCCACGCAGGCGTTCAGAGGCACCAGCTTGGAGGCCTGGCGCGCGCCCAGCGAAACCGAAGCCGACCGAAGGCGGTGAGGCAGGCCGTTCGGTGTCGGAGGTTTTTTGAAGTGGGTGCGGGGGTTTTGGGTTTGGTTTCAAGGGAAACTAGTTTTCACTGCATATGCGGCTTGTTTTCTTTCTTTTCAGGAGACGATATCTACCGTGTCCTTACAGGACTGCTGGTAGCTCCGCAAGGCTCCCAAAGCAAATTTGAATTCCCCCAGCTCCTTGGATCTCTGCCAACCACCAGCTAGTGTTCCCTTTCTGGGATCGGACTGGAAGTTTCTTTGAAGCCTTCCAAGGAAGAGTCCAATGATGCAACCCTTCAAACAAGTAGCTCAGGCGCGAAACTTTCCTGGATCACAAGGGAACTCCAAACTCACCAATACACAATCTACCGCTTCAGACGAACACCTGTCATTTGCTAACATGGCGAGCTGCCTTCTCATTGTCTCCCAGGCCAACCATCCGTCTTGCACTTAATGGGTATATCACAGTTCATAGAAACCAGAGGCAAATCCGGAACAGAAAATTAAAACCAAATACCATTCTTTGTTGATGTTCCGGAACACCTGAGATACACGGCTTCTTGTCTAAACCAATAAATTGAACCTAGAAAGACACCGGCGCTGAGGCGAACAATGCAGTTGCCTGGACTCTCAAACTTGCCTTACAAATGGGGTATTGCCAAAATTATGAGTGAAATCCAACTTTTTAGGTTAGCTAGAAGTTCCTGAAATTCTAAGGGCCTGATGGCATATTATTATTTGTGCCCATCGCTCTGCTCAAGAATCAGCCATTCCTCCGTTGGATGAATCCACTCACAGACTCACAGAGGTAGAGCTAGAACATCCTGAGATGCTTGGATGTCCCCTTCAGAAAGTCTAAAGCCATGCTCACAATTGGAACTTGGGTGCACACATCCAACTCTGCCCAAAACACACACAGACAACCAAGCTCAATCACATACATTGTTGCATGGATCGGCCATCGTGCTAGAACCCACTGACCGGTTCATCTCGGAGATAAAACAAAAGACACCGCTGCACTTTTTTGGGGGGTTCGTCATTCAGAAGGTGAACACTTTTTGGGATAGCCAAAAACTACCCTCCCACCAGCTAACATGGAAGTGCACAGACCCGTACTTTCCTCTTGGAAAGGGCCTTTTTGCACAAATCCATGTTAGTTGGCAGGGTAGACCAAGTCTGCTTTTTGCTTCCCCTTTTTTTTCCGGGGTCTTTTTGGCCAGAACAAAGCGTGGCCCCAAAGGCACCCCAAAAAAACGCGCCGAGCCGAGCGCCTCAGCATCTGTGGCCGCTTCTTCGGCGGTCGCCTCTGGATTTCCAGATCCGAAGTGCTTGTGGAGGTTTCATTGAAACTTAGCGTGTTACATGCCAGGAACAGCTATGCATCCTATATTCAAACATTCAGTCTTTGAACTCTACCGTTCGGGGCGCAGGGAACAGGGAGTTGGCCTCTCCCCGCTAATCAAGGACGCAGAAATTGTGCGGATTAATCTGAACCAACTACTAAAATAACACGACCAACTACAAAGGGGAAGGCGGCCCTGATCGATCCACAAGTGGACGAGCAACCCTGTGAAACGGAAGCCACGGTCAACATGTGCTAGTACCCGATCGTGCACATGCGGCGAAATCAGAGAGTCCCCCCCCCGGTTGAGGCTTCTCGTCCATGTCGCGAATTCGAAATTGACCACAGGCCAAGTGACGGGGGTTCCTGTTTTCAGGGAATTTCTGTTGGGATTGTTGCAAAGGAGGAGCCACCGGAAAGCTCCCATTTAGAGTTAAACTTATATGTCAGGGATCCCAGGTTGTTTGGGATCGGAATCAAAACCTGGTAGTCTACCAACAAATATGTAAAGAACCAAGAGGGTGGATATCTGCTCTAACCAATACTAAGTAATGCAGAACAGGCCCGAAACAGCCAAGTTATTTATGACGCTCTTTACTAAAACAGCTGCCAAAAAGCTAGTTTCAGAGCGAAAATAAAGAAAAACAAATCGCTGGGCCGGTGTCGAGGAATACTGAACAGTACTAGACCAACAGACTATTGAACCAGTACAACAGACTACTAAACCAATTCTAAACAGTACCAGGCTAGCTTAAAGGACTACCAAAAGCTATCCCAGTACTTGCTGTCAGACTACTTGAGTAAGCCAACAAACTACTTTTAGATTTTTCCCTATTGACTCCCCCCCATTTGTTTGAGGAGGGGCGGGCCTAAACTAGTCACTCCCCAACAGTTGGGAACTTTTGGTGGAGATGGGGGGATTCAAATCCGGCTACCACTTTGGTGGTTCCCCATAAACAATATTCATAGCCTTCCATTTGCATCTTCGCCCATTGGAACAAATAAAACTACTTCCAGTAGTGAAATCGATTCCCTTTACAACTAAGAGGGGAAAATAACAAATATTCTTAAGCAAACGGAAACAGCCACATGAAGTCAACCTTAAGAACTAAATGAGGAAACCCCACATAGACGTCAGTCCCAGCCTCCGCTTGGTCCTCGTCCCTGATGGCATCCACATAGCCCTGACGGGAAATCGCGAAGCAGCGCACATGGAACCCTAAGACACCCTCAGGATCCCTCCCGTTCACCCAGCACCCAAGAATCAACCCAACCCGTTTCCACACAACTTAAACAGATTGGTCACAAAAACTACTCATATTTGTCTCGAATCTCTATTGAACCCTTCAAAAGTGGTGTCACTAGCCAGCAGAATAGCGGCACGCTACCACATTCCAAGCGGGGGCTCCCTACGTCTGCCATCCTCCTTGCAGCTTAGCAACCCAGCAACCAGGGCTACGTCTCCGGCCCCAAGTGCCATGGACCGAGTGATCTTTCTCCCTCCCGCCTGGTCATACATGGAGGAGTCCACCCAGTCCAACCTCAGCTCTGCCTCTCCATCCTTGCCCCTTCTAAAAGAGCAAGCAACTCTTGCGAAAACTGGTGGTGCAAAACCCGGAACCGGCATTCCGGGCGGAATTGATATATGTTCAACCAAACTGGCCTTCAACAACGCGTATTTTCAGAACCTGAAAAAGGGCATCCCCAAGTAGAGGACCTCATGCTAAGCTCGTCTTATCCTTCGATCCCGTGAGCTCGCCATGAACGAGGCAAACGTACGTGCTCCGCCAATGACCCTTGCCCAAACAGAAGCCTTAGAAGCATACGGATGTGGAAACCGGATGTCAATGTCTCTTGCCCGAAAACTCGGGGCACAAATTTGCAAAGCCTTGTTGCCTGCTTAGGTTCTTTAAGCAGTTGTGAAAAAAACACACACACACACACACACACACACACACACACACACACACACACACACACACACACACACACACACACACACACACACACACACACCACACACACCACACCACACCCACACCCACACCACACACACACACACACACACACGCACACGCACACGCACACGCGCACGCGCACGCGCACGCACACGCACACGCACACGCACACGCACACGCACACGCACACGCACACGCACACACACACACACCCACACCCACCCACCCACCCACCCACCCACCCACCCACCCACCCACACGCACACGCACACGCACACGCACACGCACACGCACACGCGCACACACACCCTCTCACACACACACACACACACACACACACACACACACACACACACACACACACACACACACACACACACACACACACACACACACACACACACACTCCACACACACTCCACACACACACACACACCACACACACCACAAACACAACTCACACACCACACGCACCACACACACACCACACGCACCACACACACCACACACACCACACACACCACACACACCACACACACACACACCACACACACCACACACATACCACACACACCACACACACCACACACACCAGTTCTATAAGTGAGCATTTACCTGTTGACATCTGTTGCCCTGCGCGCAGGGCAAATCTGTCCCCTTTTGTCCTGTGCCAGAAATTCCCATCCCCGCGTCTCTGATGGAAGAAAACACAGCCCCTCTCGAAGACCAATCAGAGACGAAATGCCTTCGCCCGAAAGAAACCCAAACCTATGTGAAGGAATTTCGGCACGGGTCAAGAAAAGGGGAACCAGGGAACCAGGGTAGGGAAAACCCTCTAGGGTAAACAGCGGTAACGGGACCTGGCGTCCATAATTCAGATAGGCTCAAGCGAATTCCAAGCAAAAAGCTGGGAGAGGCTTGTCTGGCCAGCGGGAAGTGCTATCGGCGTCATTGTTGAGCTCTCCCGGCACATGCGAAACATCGAGGTCAATTCCCAGCGTGGCTGAAAGCAATGCTATCTTCTCAAGAAACAAGGCTAAGGGAAGCTTGGTGTTGTCACTCAGGCTTCTGCAGAGGTGCTGTCACTCAGGCTACGAAGTGTCACCCGGGCACTGCATGAAGGAAAGAACTTGCTGCTCAGTATGACCAACGCCGCTTGCGCCAGAGCTTCGTAACATGAGATGTCACGCTGCATATCCTGCGACACAGGCACTGACAGCTGATCAAAATCTGTCAGTGTGAAAGCCTCAGAGAACCACATCACATCGCCTGAAGGCGCCCTCATTTTGGGCCTTGGGGCCCTGCGCGCATGCGTCTGCTGCTGCAAGACCAGTCCACGCCGGTTGTGGGTACATGGATCGTTTGGGCACCCCATGCTGCACCCATTTCATAAAAGCGTGGAATACCGTCCCTGGAGAGCTTTCTGCGGGACGATGAAGGGTCTTGGATGCGCACCCAAATGCGCGTATCAGACAGTCTGCATTGTTGGACATCCTGCAGCGTGTGGGCCTCTAGGTGTCTGACACTTACCAACTTGGCACCGATCGGGATTGCTGTGCATGCAGGCTGTGACATGAAGGTCAAGTCTTCCGCAAGGCAGGAAATTGTTTGCAGCCAGTGGTCCGCGCTGATGCTGTACTGCGTGGCCGGAACACGGTGCAGGTCCGCATACAAAAAATGCAGCATCGCCCGCATCACAGGATATAACTGCGTGATCCAGAGGGCAAGTCCGACGAGTTTTCCAAGTCCCGACGGCAAGTGCGGCAAGCAGCTGAGTGGCATATCCAAAAATCTTCTCTGCCTTAGAGAGCTGCACTGAAATAATCCCTTGCGAAAAATTGAAAGTCCAGCCAATCCAATCTACCGACTTTCCGAACGTCAGTTTTTTCCAAGCCAGTGGGATGCCAACAATTTGGCAGAACATGCACAACAAAGAAGCTGTCAGCGGAAGGACATCCAATCGTTGCGTCAGCAAGAAATCATCCACAAACGAGTGCAAGGCGTGTTGCGCCCATATGAGTTGATGCCAGCATCTGGTCAGAAAAGATCCCAGGCGGCCCCACCAATGGGCGCTGAACGCCGCCCCAAAACAAGCCACGTTCTGGCGGTGATACAATCCTTGTGTGCCGATTTAATGTCCAAGGTGAACCCTGAAAATTCGTGCTTACAGTTTCGGAGGGGGAATGCACGAATGACATCCTTGGCCGTGGGCATATGCTGGTGTTCTTTCACGCGGCAATTCGCATTGGTGCCCAAGGCCGTGTGATCCACCACCAAGCGGGGGGCTCTAGAAGGGCTGTCAGCAATGCTCAACTTGCCTATGGCAACTCCCATGGGCCATTTGGCTTTGGCTTCCTCAAGTGTTCCGTGATATGGCGTGACGAATCCCCTGTCAATCTCTTCCTGGACCAGTGAGTCTGTTAGCTCTGGTCTGTCCTCAGAGGAACGCCAGTTCTGCAAGACGCTGAGGGGTGTTGCCTCCTTCGCACCTTCGTCACGAAAAGGAAAAACGTTGGATGGGGGCATGTCATCATTGAACCCCGTCGGAACACCAGAGATGAGAGATGGAAACAACGCTGTGTCAGCATCCCGCATCGCTTGGCTGATCTGATGCAGGGCATTCAGTCTCATGGGTTGCTCTTCTCGCGCATCCCAAGTGGTTGGGGTTTCTTCCAAGTCTAGCAATCGGAAAAAATCAGTCCGGAAACTTTGAACTTCGTGATCCCGGAATACAGGTTTGTCTCGGTGTTCTTGCACGTGCGAAAGGAGGCGGTCCACCGCCCCGAGCTGGAGTAGCTTTGGAAAGGAAGAGGTTGGACGCCCCTTTGGGGGGGAAACTCCGATCTGGCTGGGATAGCATGCCTCCTCCATCCTGCACTGCGCACGGAGGATCGGCAATTTAAGCAGGGAAAGCAGGGAAGAATGATTCTCGTGAGTCCCAAGTGAACTGAACCTGTTCGCCGGACAACAGCGGCTGCAAAAGCAAAGCAAATTCCATGGATAAAGAATCTGGGTATTGCGCGCTGGCAAAGGAGCGCTGCCGCTTCCCAATTGCTCCATGCTGGCAGGCCCGCGCCATGCACTCCAGAGGGGGGTAAGACGAAGCCAGCAGCCATGTAAAATGAGCGTCCATGCCAAAACCACATGCCGCCAGAGCAATGAGCTGACATGACGTGCTGAGAACCCAATGCTTTACCTCTGGCTCTACCCAACTTGTGGCATCGCTGCGCTGTTCCACCCCCCCGACGCACGAGTCACTTCAAGGCACTGGGTGCAGCGAGACAAGATGGCGTGGCCGTCGTCCAAGCGGTTCTGGTGTTCAGCTCTTGGGCTGGCACCCGTGTAAGCTATCAGACCAGACCCGCATAATCTCAACAACTGTTCGAAAAATCATTATCCAGGATGTCCATGCGTGAATCAAGAGCCTGGCTGACAGGCAGATATGGCTTGCCTGTCCTTGAAACTGCTCTGGACAAATGTGTGTCTGCGCTGCTGCAAATTTCAAGAAAAATCCGAACGCCGGTCATTGCACTGGGTGCTGACAAACAATCCGGCCCCTGCACTGCCTTAGGCAGAGCCTCTGCTCAGCAGCAAGTGTGCATGGCTTTGCCACTGCAGTACCAGGAAAGGTCGCCTGCTGCAACGTGCCCGAAAACATGTTGTCTTGCAAGTTGAAATCTTGCGTCCGGGCGGGAGTGAAGCACAAGCTGTGCCTTCGTTTTCAGCAAGGCCTATGCACTCGCAAAGACTGCAGATTTGAGCACAGATGTGGCTATCCAAAAGCTGATGGCACCCCGTGCTACGGGGACCAGAACCATGTCGTTACCCCCCACTGACTCTCGGATGAGGCAGACGAAATCGTTTCACCGTCTCAAGCCAGGCAGTTTGCTCTTGACGACACGTGTGGATTTGCCTGGCCCCTTGCTCTGCCCTTTTCCTTTGGGGCCCGCAGAGCCCGCAGGCCGGCTTAGCCCTGCGCGAGCAGCCCCGCTGCTTTCTGAAGCTTGAGGTCCTCGGTTCACGCGCGGCCGTGGTTGCAGGAGGCCCAGCAAATCTGCCCGGATCGTAGTGTATTCTGCTAGTGCGTCGTCCAAGGACCACTGCTGGTCTGTCACCATCTCTGAAATGCCTTGCCAGATGTGCCGGTCCGCATGTTGGGCTCCAGCACGTTCGCAGATCGCAGGCCGCTATCTGGGTCGCATCGCTGGCTCAGGATCGACATGAACCGGAGGCTGTATGCCTTCAGTCGGGCCAAGTGCGCGCCGCCGCACAAAGCCACTGCCACATCATGTACTGCCAGCCATGTTTCTGATGCCATGGAGACCAATGCCTTGGTTGGAGATGTCAATGGACGGCGGCTCGTCTGCAAGCAGTGAGTGGAGGGTGAGCCCCTCCAGCCTGGCAGCTTTTGTTGGCCGCTGAACCTGAAGTTCTTCGGCCTTCGCAGCCGTCATCCTAAACTTTCAGGGCACCCACTTGATGTCCTTCTTGCTGATCTGGTGGTGCACCAATGACAATAAACGAGTAGATGGAAACACCTCGGGCGTCAAAATCTCCGAAGGGTAGTTCCGCAAGAAGGTGGCTTTCATTTGGGTAATCACCTGTGTGCTCAGCCTGGGCGCAAAAGTCTCAGCCCACCCCGCGTCTAGCAGATGGGCCTGCGTGGGCG